AGGTGGGCTCCTAAGGACATTCATCATAGAAAGCACATTGAGATTGGATTTTCGTTAGCTGTGAAATTAAATACTCTGAAGCAGTTTTTTCACCCTGCCAATTATGAGTAGGCATCAGAGTGATGTTCTCACCCTGCCCTGTCTGCTCCTGCATGTGCTGGTGAGGAGGAAAGCCCATTTCCTCACAAAGCTTTTAGAGGGTGGCCTGAAAAAGGGAGAAGTTGGGCTCCAACCTTTTCTGCTTCCTTGTGATGGAGAAAATTCGTCTGATAATATCCCGTCAGTACCGCCTGCTCCCTTCAGTTAAAGCCTTAGCTCCTCTAGTTGTCTGTTGTGCAGCCGGCAAACTTTGGTCTTCCACTAACGCCCAGATTTGCCATTGCTGCTTTTTCTCAAGATAAAACGACTCCCAGAGTTTCAAACAAAACCTGAACACAAGCCCCATTTATTTTGGTATTCTTTAAGAGTCAACGTGTAGTATGGTGAGGATTTGAGGCTTGGGAGAAGGTTTGCACAGAGCAGGTGAAGAAAGGTTGGGAAATGTTTCCCTTTTTCCTGCTAGGGATTTCCAGTGCTTGTGTCCGACAAGTCGGGATTGTCAGTGACAATCTCAAGGGAGAACCCGAGTCTCCACTGGACAGTCAATAAAGGGAGAGATTCGGCTTCAATCCTGGGTGCGAAAGCACTTGGAGTGCTTGCAAGGGGTTCACGTCGCAGGGTCAGTACCAGGAACACCCTTTTATTGAAATGATTGATCTCGTAAAGGGAGAAAACAATCATCTCCCACTTGCTGAGCTCTGTGCTCACCTCCTAAATGATGTTGTAGCCTCTCTGCGATCAAGCAGTGTGTACTCGATGGCCAGAGCGTGGCTTGCACTGAGCTGCAGGAGAGCAGTGGTTGGGCTGGTTTCTGCAGGCTGCCCTCGCAGAGGGAGCACACCGAACTCACGGGGCCTGGGGCTACCCAGCTCCCACAGCAGGTAGCAACAGTTTTGCTATTGCTTTAAAATGTGCTGGAAGATGGGTCTGGCACAGAGCGGGGGGAGGAGGGACAGCTTAAAGCTGCCTGGTGTCACCTCTGTGCTGGTGCCTCTGGGATTCATGGGCTCCACTCAGGATTCCTGTCGATTTGATTCCCCAAGCACCCAGGGAGCAAACGGGAAAGGCCACCCCGTCTGGACACCAGCACATCCCAGTGCCTCAGCTGGGCAGGCAGGGATGAGCTTCCCAGAGCTGCAGGTGCCATCAGTCATGCTGAGGACACAGAGAGGGGACAATCACCTTCAACATAAGCCTGCAAGTGAAAGCCTGCGAGCAGGTGGCGAGCTGAGCAAACCGAGTTACTCTGAGGTGCTCTTAGTGTGGTGCAAGTGCAAAAAAATCAGGCAGTGAATTGCTTCCCTGGGTATCCCCTGCAGGCTGAGGAATGGCGTGCAGCATCCCAAGTTTATATTAGCTGGGTTGGTTCCCTGCCTAAACCTTTCTCCCTCTGAGCAGAGCTCAAGGTGGATCTTGGCCCATTGCTGCTAAGACTCCAACCTCGATTGCCCTGGTAATTATGTGGTGTAGACATTTACAGGGATGGCCAGGGACTCTGCACTCTGCCCAGAGCAGTTACAAAGCCCAAGCAAGCAGATGGAGGTTACAGTGACTCCTCATAACCTTCTCGTGAGCAACTTCTGCTGCTGTGGGGCTGTGCTGACAGCGCTTGGTGCTCTGCACTGTGACCAGGCGTGACGAATAGGGAGAGGGTAGGAGGGATGTAAAGCAAGCACCTTGTGAATTATGTTTGCTAAGAAAAGCAAAGTGATGCAGCTGAACTATATCACGCAAATGAGGACATTCAAATGTGTTAGGGTGGTCCAAGGCTACCCCAGTGCCAAAGCAGGACCGAGAGACCAATGCCCACCAGCCAGGAAAGCGTAAGGAAAGGCAATCAGGCGAGTGCGTACCCGCAAAATGTGTGCTGGGCTGGCAAGGAGAAGTCCTCCAAATCAAGTTGCTGCTCTGACACCAACAATGCATTATTTAAAGTAGGAAGCCTCTAAGATGCAAATGTTAATATTTTCCTTACATATTTTAGCAGGAATTATTAAAAGGTAATGAATTTTTAATGCTGAACATCAAAACTGCTTGTACATAAATACAAGTAAGGATGTATGAGAAATGGCTGTGCTGTATTTGTACGTACTGGTAACAAGACAGGGGACATTGGATATGTTCAAGTAGCAAACCAGCTGTGTGGCTGTCGGCCCGCCTGGGCAATCCCACTGCTTGGCGCTTTTTCCCATGGGTGCTTGCACATCAAACCCCAAGGGCTAGCAGCCTCTTCCAAGCCGGCAGATAATAGCTGGAGTTTAGTTTCTTGATAAAGCACACGCTGCTGTTAAATGAACACTTTGCTTTGCTCAACAAAAGATTGGAAAAATCCCAGGTGTGGTGGTCATCTCTCCGAAAGTACAGATTGAGGCAGGAAGCTCTTTTGTACTAGGAAACCCAAACAACAGTGGTTAGACCTCCCGGCTGTGCGTGTTTGCCTTCACTATGTCCACACAGTGCTACAGACCAGACTCTCCAGAGCCAGGCAGGAGGGTGAGACATTGCAAACCAGTACAGTGTCTCTTTCTCATCACCAAAAGCCAATGGATGAGCTGGGGAAGGACGCAAGTGTGCTGCACAGCTTCTGGAGAGCCTCTGTCAGTTTAGCAGGATGATGTAAATGGAGCTTAATTTAAAATCACAATTGCATCAAGCTGTCAAACCAGTAACCTGGGCAAAACGTGTCTCAAGGATGTGAGAGTTTGCCAACAGCACAAGGGCTTTGGCCATGTCTACTGGAGCGAGCGAGCCAAAACCTGGCGTGCTGTTGCTCCTTCTGTCTTCAGTGTGTGACACCCCTTTCTGTGTAGCACATACTTGCCGGGACTGTTTTGCACAGAGCAGTCCTCTTGCTTTCCACCGTCTGCGTTCATCAGGGGAGCAGGAAGCAGGCAGGGAGGCCAGCAGGTCAGCTGAGTGAATTGAGAACCATGGATGACCATTGCAGCTGCCATTAACTAAATTAACCAGCATCCTGCCTGGCCTGCAGGGGCAACTCCATCATACTTATGCTATGTAGACACCGACCATAAAAAGTAAGGATGTATGAGAAATTTGATTGCTTAACATCAGATGCTTGAGACAGACTGACTGAAAAGCAGCAAGTGAGCTGTAACCATCCCATAGGTTGTGTGCCCGCCTAACCCAAGAAAGCCATGAAGTAAGCCAGATGAACCGTGGTCCATCAGTACTTGGCTGTATGGGCCAGTAACACAGAGAATGAAGAACTATTGGCAGGATCTCTTGGCAGTTTAACACCAATTAGTGTCTTAAAATGCATTTACACTCGAAGCTAATTTACTCATACTTCAAGTAATTACCTCCATCTGTCTGAATGCAGCCTTGGACGTGATGTGGGCATTTTCACCTGGGTACAGATGACAAGGGTAGTTGTTCTGTTTGTGAAGTCCATGTCAGCAAAACTCACAGAGGCAAAGGCTCCATCTCCCACGGCTCTTGATCCATGCGATAGCTCCGGAGCCGCCTCACAGCAGTTGGAGGTCAGGCTGGGATCTGTGCTGGGAATAGTGGTGTTATTCACCTCCTCCTCATAAGGCCAAATCTGTTCCCCGTTCCAGCTCGCAACGTGGCCCCATGAAGACTAGGCTATGGAGCAGGAATAAGCAGCCCATTGCTGCTTGTCAGGGTCAAACCATGCGGTGGCTGGCCCCCGCTGCCTCCCCTGCCCAGCCCTGCTCCCCGGCATGGCACTGCGTGCGGTTCTCCCGCAGCGTGCAGGTAGGGACCTTGGGGAAGGCGGCAGGAATACCGCGTGCATTAAACAGCTCAGCAAGCAAGCTAACAGCTATTGAAACATATAATTAAACCATTATTTTCTCTCGCCCCCTCTCTTTTTTTTTTCTTCACCTGAACAAAATATTTTTCCATTTATTTGTTATCAGTGAAGGGAGTGAATATACCGAAACACGTCTGCTGTTCTGCTCTACTACCCCCTATTAACTTCCTAAGCACTTGGGAACCTTTGGCTCAGCTGCATGAAATAACAGAGAAACTAATTAGGCCGATAAAACTCCGTGATTGAGTCAGGGACCCTGAGAAAGGGAATGACTTTTTACTACTATTTCTTTTTGTTGTTAATACATGTGTTCACCCTCAAGTTCTCCACCGCCTGCGCTGCTGGCAGCACGGATCGGATTCAGTTGCAGTTGGAGAAGGAAGGTCCCAGTCAGGAGCGGTGGTGATCAGGGTGACAATTCCTTTCTGTCCCCAGCTGTGGGGTCTCCTGGGGCGGGGTTTGATGAACAGCTTGTTGCGAGTCCCCTTGTCTGCATGGGCCCTCCTCACACACACTGTGCACGTCTCACAGCAGAGGCAATTAATATGCCGCCGGGATGGCACATGAACAGGTCTTGGCTGCATCGCAGAGTGAGTTCGGGCCAAGTCTCTCTGCTGATGTGGACACAGGGACAGGCAGAGGCACACAAAGGACGGGGTAAGCTGGGAGGAGGTGGGGGGACTTTGCAGAACACGAAGCCTCCAGCTCCGGTCAGCCGGTCCCCGTGTCCAAACGTGCAGCGCCTGCTGCAGTCAGCACATGGCTGAGACTTGCAAAGAAAATTTAGATCCAAAGACTAATGCTAATCAGTCAAAGACTAATGCTAATCAGTAACATCTCTAATTGGAGAAATGGTCATCAAGTGAGATTACCAGCCTGATCCTGTTAGCCGCCCCCTGCCCGGCCGGTTGGGTCAGCGCTGCTCAGCGTTAATGGAGCCACCTCCTGCAGCGGTGGGGCCGGGGGGGGTGGCATGCTGCTGGCTTGGTTGTAGCACCGTGCCAGGAGCGTGTTGCAGAGCTGTCCTCCCTGGAGAGCGAGGAAGATGAGCACTCCTTGATTAGCCAAAATGCACTCTCACTTGTATTTGTATCTCGCTTTGCAGATGGGAAATGCGTCCAATGCCTCGGTGTTCATCTCCACCTTATCGGAGAGAGAAGACCTGATTTTTGGCACACTCTATTTAGTCTTTGGTAAGGAAAGACAGCCTGTTACACCTCTCCCCCTCCTGCGGGCTGCCCAGGTTCCTGCCTGCCAGAGACGTTCAGGCCTTTTGCAGTCACAGATGCTTCCACAAATGTTCAGTTCGTTGGCAGAATAATCAAACTGGCCCTTCCCACATTAGCCCTCCCCACCGTTACTCAAAAGGCTGATCTGGCCAAAGCTTGATGGTGGCATTCCTCTCTCAGGGGAACTGCAAGTACCAGTTATGTTTTTAAATATTTGGAAGTTGAAGAGCAACCTTTCAGGGGCGTGCAGTAACTCCTACTGCAGCCACCTGATGTGTCAGGGACTCTCTGTTAGCGTCACCAGCTTCATGATTATTGAAGGTGATTTGGACCTCCAGCTGGCCTTTGCTTTCAGCAGAAGATGCTGGTGAGTGTCCCGTGATTTGGAGTTAGTGGCACCAGAAAGCCAGCGGGCAAAACTGAGGGGCTGGGATGTGCTCTGAGGTGGCTTAGTCCTGGCTGGTGTGAGCCAGAAGTGATTCATGGGCAGAGAAAAACCTTCCAGTTTCCTGAGCCCTGAGCAAGTTGTCTCCCAAATGCCAGAGTTTTTCATGCCTGTGAAGATGGGGGACCCAAGGGATGCTCATGTCATGGGGACTGCCAGCAGTCCTGTAGGCACCTAGTTAGTAAAGCTAATCAAGTGTACTTAGTACAGATGTGAGACTAGCTCTGTGGGAAAAATGCCTCATGAGGCTGGGAACAAGGACAAACATCTCAGTACTCTACCCTCCAGCAACTCCAAAGCCCTGGATTTGGCCAGGTCTCGTGTGGGAATCCTGTTCCTGAGAGTAACTTTAAGTGTTGGCCATTCAGCAGCTTTGGAAGCTGGTTCTTACCATGATTAATTTACAGCCTAATCCATTAGGGAGAAATTCGTATCCTACCCAACCTGCCCCAAGAGCAGCAAAGATTCCCCTTCTGAGGACACTGAAACCTCTTTCCAATGAAAGCACAATTACATAATTAAAAAAAAAAAAGAGAGAAACCCCTTGTTATAAAATTTTAATCACCACTGTTGTGTTTAAATACACTAATAGCAAACAAAGAGCCTTCTTTTGTTTAGTCTAGGTTTTCCTTGATCTTCATAATGTCTTTCTTCTTGTTTGTTTTGTTACCATGATATTGGACAACACAGACTCACAGGAGTGACATTGCCAGAAAGAAATTAAAAAGGCGAAGGGGCCCAGCTCCTTGGCCTCACATCAGAAGAGCAATCGCACAAAGCTCCTGTTATTTATCTAGCTGGAAGGAAGTGCCCCCCTTGCTCCTTCCAGATGGAAGAAGTGAGTCTGGCCAGATCCTGCACCCGGAGCCCATTGCAGTCTCATCCCATCACTGCCCTCCTACCAAACACCTCTGTGGGATCTCAGGAAGGGGAAGGGATAAAATTCAATGTAAAGCAGCTCCAGATGTGCTCACAGAGCTCTGCAGGTCCCGTGGGCTCCCCTGCTCAGCCCGCTCCGGAGAGGGAAGCCTGGAGCCCTTTCCACCCTCTGTAGACATCTCCGGTGTTTGCTTCCAAACATCTCAAGATGATCCTGGCTCCTTTCCCAACTGTTACAGACAGCACTGTTCCTCTGCCTTCTCCACAGGCATCGTGTCCCTCTCTGGGAACTCGCTGCTCCTGCTGGTGGCCTATCAGAAGAGGTCCATGCTGAAGCCTGCCGAGTTCTTCATCGTCAACTTGGCCATCAGTGGCCTGAGCATGACAGTGACGCTCTGCCCCTTGGCCACCTCCTCCTGCTTTGCACACAGGTACCTTGTGGAAGTGCACTGGCCAATGGCCCTGGGTGCAGTTTGCAAACCTTGTCTTGAAGTGGGGACATCCCTGACAGGGGTCCACAGGGACCCAGGGAGTCAGTCTGGTGGCACTGGGGCACGGTGTACCCTCACAGACATCCATCCCACAGCAGGTTGCTTTGCTGTTCCCTCTCCTTCTGGTTTATCTGGTTTATCTAAAAGGGGTTTGGTGGTGGGTTTCTGAGCTGGCACCCACATGGCACGGGCACTGCAGTGGTGTGCACTGGCATGAATCAGGGCAGCTCCCGCACCCATGGCTCCATCTGTGCCTGTCACTGGGATGGTCAGGGAACAACTTAGGGGCAAGATCATGCCCATGCTTTCTTGGGCAATCAGGCGCTGGTATCCACGCAGCCGTTGCAGCCACCCTACCCGCAGTCGGCTTTACTTCTGGTGTGGGACCAGTGGCTGAGGCCCCACCACCCACTGCCGCCAGGAGAGTGGGCTGGGAAGCACCCAGCCTTCCTGCAGGGCAGGGAGCACGGGGAAAACCCCTGGTCCAGCCGAGTGGCAGGGGCTGTCAGGCAGCCGCCCCGGGCAGAGGGGAAGGGCTGGGTTTCCCCGCAGGCTTTCCCTTGCAGGTGGCTCTTCAACCAGGCGGTGTGCACCCTCTACGCCTTCTGCGGGGTCTTGTTCGGGCTGTGCAGCCTCACCAGCCTGACGGTGCTCAGCACGGTTTGCTGCCTGAAGGTCTGTTACCCAGCATATGGTAGGTGCTGGGATGCGTTATCTGATCTATCCTTACACCCCTCTCTGTTAACATAACCCTCTTTTTTTTTATGGGCCAGATCCACCTCTTCTGGGAAACCTTTACCCCAGGGCAACCTATTCCCAGTCAATACAGTGGCGCAGCGGATTCTGAAGGCTTTTATCACTCCTGTATTCACCCCCCTCCACCATCGTGGGGCTATGGAGCCCCGGTACCCTGTGCCCATGGCCATGATGCATCTCAGCCATCCTCTGCTTCACTCTGGGGCTCAGGAACATCACCTAGAAAAGCGTCAAGGAGGTTGTCCCCCCTCTGGAGAAAAGCCCCAGCTGCTGATTCACAGCAGGTTGCAGGGTTTTGAATGTCCATGCACAGGCTTGAGCTTAGACTAGTGCAGACTCTGTGTCTGGGGAGCCACAAGCTCTGGCAGTGCGAGGAAGAGCTGCTTTCCCTTGTCCCTGGTGGCAGAGCCACAGGCCAAATGTATTTAATTCACTGAAATAACTAATACAGGAGGGCTGGGTCTGCAGTATTATAGCTCAATTCTGTAGCCCTGTTTTCACCTGGACTTCCTCCGCAGAGCTAATGCGAATGTTTACAGGTCTAAGCTTGGGCACCAGCTATTTGGAGAGGGCATGCGGTGCGGAGAGCACCTGGGGAAGCAGGGGACATGGGGATGTCCCCTACGCATCTACAGCTCCTCCTATTTGGAGTTGCTTCTTAATTTCCTCAGCTCAGCTGCCAATTCTCCCATCTAGCATGTATCTTCAGAATAGACTTGGGATTAAAGACCAAAAATAGAAATAAAATGGGAAATCAAAGGTATTAGTATGGTTTGCAGACGAGCACCCCAGGGCGCATCCTCACCCCCTCTCCCATCGCTCGCTGCCCGTCAGCCCCGAGCCTGTGGCTGCTGCCAACTGCCAACACGCTTTGCCCACAGCAGCTCACAGTGCACGGAGGGTGATGCTGGAGCAGGGTCACCTTGGTTATGTGCCACCACAGCACCTCAGGAGATCACTAAAAAAGTGGAAGGAAAGATAAAGATAAAAGCTGGCTGTTAAAAGGCAGCCAGGTGCTGCTGGCTTTTCCCTGCGCAGGTTCTGCTCTCTAGCTGAGCCAGCGCTTGGCAGCCTGGCACGGGGAGCTTATCTCCCCGTTTTCTGTGAGGAAATGCCTAATCTCAATGGGCTTTTAATTGCTTAGTTTCAAAGAAAAATGTTACTCCTGTGTATGGCTGAAGATTCAGCACTTTATACTGAGCTTTTAGAAGATCAGGGCATTTTAGATTTGATGGGGGATGAGACAAAAAGATAAAACCCCACCTCCCCCAGTGCTTCAGTCTCCCAGAGAGGAAACCGTCCTTCAAATGACAGTGTCTGGGGTGGCTTTGAGCAGTGCTGGAGCCAGCTCTGCCTGCCCCGTGCTCAGGCTGCTGCAGCCAGGCAGCCTTCATCCCTCCATCCTTCCATCCCTCCCTCCTTCCATCCCTCCATCCCTCCCTCCGCCCTGCCCGTGGGTCCAGCAGGTATTGGGCAGGTATTTCTCCTCAAAAGCTTCTTCTCAGATAAAAGAACCACAATAACCCGTGTTGGATCATAACTGATAGTGATAATGCTTCAGATCATTGCGCCGCTGCGTGGGTTGGGGCAAACCCTTATGTCTCTTGTGACTCCTTGCTCCGTCCGCCTGCCCAAGGGTACGCGAGGATGCCCGTGCGTCCGGGGCCCTGGGGAGAGCATTGGCATGGCTCTGCCCGCGCCGTGGCTGCAGCGCTGCTGTGCTGTCCCCAGCACCTCCTGCCCTGCCGTGTCCCAGCGTGGCTGGCCTCGTCCCCAGCGCTGGAGGTGAAGGCACCTCGGGGTCACAGCCCCTCTCTCCACCCCCCCTCGCCCATGGGAAGCCATCCTCACCCCGATCCCTCTGCCGCAGGCAACAAGTTCTCTCCCTGCCACGCCGGAGTGCTGCTGCTGTGCGTCTGGGCGTACGCCCTGATGTTTGCCACGGCCCCCCTGGCTGAGTGGGGCAGCTACGGCCCCGAGCCCTATGGGACAGCCTGCTGCATCACGTGGAACGCCTCGAGCAGGGAGGCCACGCTCTACATCCTCGCCCTCTTCATCTTCTGCTACCTTCTCCCCTGCCTCCTCATCCTCGTCTCCTACTCGCTGATCCTCTGGACGGTGCGGGTGTCTCAGAGAGCCGTCAGGCAGCACACATCCCCCCAGCGCAGAGCTCGCAGCGTGCACAGCCTGGTCGTGAAGGTAGGGGTGGTTTGTGGTCCCGGGGTGGTGCGGGGGTCTCGAGGTGTCCCCTGCCCCAGCCCACTGCCCCGTGGGCAGGTGAAGGCGGCAGAACCCCTTCTGCCAGTCAGCGGTGTCTGCCACTCCTGATGAATTCTCCGGGTGTTTGTACCAGTGTGGGTAATAACACATTTCTCCTCATTTAAAGCCGTCAGGTGGAGGAGTTTTCATTTTAAATTACATTTGAAAAGATCATAAAAGGAGCTTGCATGAGTCATTGTTCCCCAGACTACAAGCTAATACTATAATTTACCAAGGATATATTTAAAAAAAAAAAAAAAAGTGGATAGCTTTAAAAAAAACCCAAACATGAAAGAAAACAGCTTGCAAGCCTGCCCTCAAAGGAAACGTTCGTGTCTGCTTAGAGGAGGGGGGTCTGAGCACAGCCCACTTCCAGAGCCTCTCTGTCGGTCTGCGCCCTGGCAGACCAAAGGCTGCCAAAGACTTGCCAAGACCAAAGACTCCAAAAGGCTGTTGGAGTCCGACACTGGCCTGGTCCTAGCCGGGTCGCTGGGGGCTTCGTACCCCTCTGCTGTGGCAGGCTGAGGCAATTCCCAAGTTTCTGAGGTGGGACGGGGCACGAGACACCTGAAGTGAGTGCAGGTTTAGGTGCCCACGCTGGGATGCGCTGAGTTGCTGCCCTGATGTCTGACACCCCAATGCTCCGGTGCGACGGGTCCAGAAGGCTGAGCACCTTTCCCTGGGGATGTGACTGACTGTTCGGGGTCCCATTACACATGGCAGTGGTTGTCAGCATCAGGCTGGGTTTTGGGGGAGATGAGCATCCCACGTGTGCCACAGGAGGTTCACGGCACCGCCACCTCCATCTCCTTTCCTTCCAGCTGAGCATTGCTGTGTGCCTGGGGTTTCTGGCTGCCTGGACCCCTTATGCCATCGTTGCCCTGTGGGCAGTCCTCGGTGATGCCAGCCAGGTGCCAGCGCTGGCCTTTGTGCTGTCGGCCGTCTTTGCCAAGTCATCGACGCTCTACAACCCCCTGGTGTACCTGCTCTTCAAGCCCAACTTCCAGAAGTTCCTCTCCAAAGACATGGTGCTCCTCCAGGCCATCCGCACCCTCTTCTGCTGCGGCTGCCCAAGTGCCACACTCCAGCCCTTCCCGTCCCCAGGCTTCGGTGACCACCCTGGGGCTTGCAGAAACTGCAATGACACTTTTGAGTGTTTCAGTAACTACCCCAAGTGCTACAAACTCCCCCAGGAGCCCGGCAGCTCTCCCCGGCACGCTCCCCTGGCTATCCTGGCCGATGGAGCCGCTTGCCAGCCAGGGCTGAAGAGGACGGTGCAGGTGATGGTGCTTGTCACACGGAAGAGGTCAGGCCTGGGCGCTGCAAATGTAGTGGGAGAAGCCCTGCCCTCGGATATCATGAAAGACCTTCTCTGAGCCCAGCTGTGCCCAGCTGTGTCCTACCAGTGCACTGGAAGACAAACCCAAGCGCAATTTTTCTCTCACCTATGTATCTGATGGGTTCCCAGCATGTTCTGCAGATGAAGTGACATGAAAATTTAAGACCAGCCTTGCCCCCCCCGCTGGTTTGGCTCTTCTGACTCTGAGCCCAGTCTTTGCACTTGCAAAAAAAAAAAAAAAGAAAAAAGAAAGACCCCAGTGCCTGAAATCTGCCCAGGGTGCAAGTCCAGGGTGCAGTTTCTCCTGCAGCTTGCTCTCTGGGCCCTCGGCCTTTGTTTTTCCATCCTGGTGCTCTGATGACCAAGTAGGAACTTGGTTGTCTTAAGAAACTGTGCCTGTCGGGGGGAGGCTGGGGGCCAGGAGGCCCCGAGAGGCATCCTACCTCCAGCGCCTACAGCCCACGTCCTTTCCCGTCGGGGAGCAGGACCGCGCCGCTCAGCTACCTCACTTGGGATTATGAAGCATCTTTGTATACCTCTCAAGAGACTACTCTCTGTGCAGGCTGGGTTACCCCACTCCCTTGATTTGAATGCAAACCCAGCACCATCCCATACATCGAAATGGGAGCTTCTCTTTAGAGTAAGGATTTGGGGTTAAAATAATCCCGGTGCGAGTAATAGCAGTCCCAGGTCGTGCTCTCCAGGCAAGGAATGGTGAATCTGCGGCCGAGCACCCTCCTGGAGATGGGGCTGTGGCCGTAGGGTGCCTCCTGGCGGCCAGGATGATGGGGCAGCGGACACTGTCTGCACTGCTGCGCAGGAGAGCAGCTGCCTGGGCAACAGCATCCCGCGGGCTTGGAGTGAATAACATGGCCGGGGTGCTGAGAGGGGCTGGTTGTGCCCCAAAAAATTAAAGGACGCGTTCGAGGTGATGAGAAGAGTCAGTAGCAGCGGTGGGAAAGGTGCTGCCCTCCGGCACCCGGCTGGCCAGTTACTCATGGGAGCGCTTTACGTCGTCACTGGTTAATGAACAAAACCTCACCACAACCCATCGCCGGAGCTGCAGTGTCAAATCACGGATGTGCTAAATGGGAAGAGC